CGCCGGCGGTCGCTTGCCGTTGGGTGGCAAACCATGGGTGGCCGTTTCCTTTCTGTTCCCCTGTTATGAAAAGCGCTGAATTTCCTTGATCTTCTGGCTGTTGTCTTTGGCATGTTTCCAGCGCTAGAATTGATTTTTAAATAAAATACTAGCAGCTAAATGTTTTTTTTCAGGAGACGCAGAAAGAAAGAGAGACAGGCCACCCTAAATATCTTCCGTGACCACGACTGCGTCGGTATAACAAAGCGTGAGCCGCCTGAAGCCGCAGAGGCACTGATTTCCCTCCTCCTCTCTTCTTCACATCCCTCAGTCTTTACCTTTTCCCAGCATTGGATTTATAAATGTAAACACGACGTGTCCCGGCAGCTTGTTCTTCCGCAGTTGCAGCGCGTACTGGCAACAGCACTGTTTATTTTCATTTTCCTATGTAGGTTCTGATTCTGCCGTGACGTTTTAATAACAAGCCTGAAGCACTGCTCTTGCCATTAAGCCTTCTGAAGCATCGCTTTGCTCTCACATGAGAAGTATGCGTGTGAGAGTGTGTCTGAGAGAGGGAAGGTGTGGGGTTTATTCCATCAGTTTATTTTTAACTTGTGATTCAACTCTGAAAATACAGAATTAAAACCATGGAATTTGGGTCATAAACATGCTGGAAAAAGTCTCTGTGAAATGGCTTCTTTGATGGGAACTTAAAAATAAGCTAAAGCAGAGAGAACCACTTGGGCGCATTGCATCTTCTAAACCACAGCTGGCACCCTGCAAGATCTTTTCAGCGCAGTGACAGTGCCGCGATGCGGGGTGTGATGGTGGCTGCACAAACCGCATATCCCCATGCATTATGTCCCTGGCGACTGCTGAAGTAGCCCGTGACGCTACACCTTTAACGCAGTATTTTCTGAGTTGTAGATAATGTTAGCGTGGTTTGCCGGCTACCGCAGTACAGAGCATCCCGCTCACAGGCTCCGTGCCTGCAGAGCAGCGTGGGCACGCCGCACACAGCGCTGACCTGGCTCGCGCAGCTCCCGGCAGCAGCAGGGAACCCGAGCAGGCCAGGTCCCCGGGTGTGTGTCTTGCTGCTCACATCGATTTTACAGATTTCGCTTAGCTCTGTGCTGCAACAACGCCTGTAGCAAGGGAGAGCTTTGTGATTCAAGTGGGATAACGAACTCGGCTTGCTGAGCTACTTTAAATAGCAGAATTTTCAGCATATTTTGGTGAAGGTGTTTGCCAGACACTGAAATTAATTCCATGTGTCTGGCCTATCAGCAGCAGCAGCTCTGACCTTTCCCAGTTGGTCTCAGATTGAAAGGTGAGAACCGGTAATCAGCCTGCCATGCTTCAGCTCTTGAAATCTGTCCAAGCACCACTCGCAGAATTATTTCCTGCCAGTGGCCAGGTCCTACGGTAGCTGAAGACATCTGTTTGTCTAATACCCGTGCAAGACTGTTTCTTAGGATAATACCACACTTAGCTTGCGGCTTTCCTCCTAAAAACTCCTGACGTGCTCTGTAAATGTAGAGCCGAAGCATCTTTCAGTTTAAGTAGGTGGAGGCGTTACCTTTATGAATGACAGAAGCAAAACCATTAAGACCAACAGTGCGTGGCACAATGTGTGACAGTGGGTGTAAGGAGAAATTTTCACCTAAGGATTCAGGACAAACCCTCCTATGTGGGAGGCACACTGGCAGTGTAATACATGTAACTGCGTTAACGTTTTTGTTAAGATCTTATCTTGAGAAGGGTCCCATACAGTGAGTTAGAGGATAGTCCCCCCTTGTGATCTGAAAGGTGCAGACACAGCCGTGTGAGTGTCTGGGTGTCCTTGGCTGCCACTGAAATTGCTGTATTTGTTGAACCCTTATGAGAACTTTGCAGCTGCTTTCAGTGGGAACATGGTGATGCACTGCGGTGACGGCATCTGCTCGGCACTTTATGGGACAGAAGAGAGCTGACCCTGGCAAAACTCAGAACGGTTTCTGTGGAATCTCAGTATTTTAATTCTCATTCTTTGATCAACCCTTGGTTATAGAAAGCTCCTGTGTATTTCAAAGCCGCCTTGAGTGACTATGAGATTAAAAAAACGTGGTTTTCAACTGTGTATTATCTCATTTCTATCTCTTTCTGTAGAAGCAGACCATAGATATGTTGGTAGTTGGTGCTGCATAAATATGTAAGCTGGGACGTAGTGTCGCAAATGTAGGTGGAAAAAGGAACTCTTGCCGTGCTATTCCGTGGGAGTCAGTGCGTGTGGTCAGACCGGTAGTAGCATACATGTTCTCATTTATCCAAACAGCCAATGTATTTTTTCCATATAGACAATATTGGATCTGTGTTTTGGTAGGAGAGAAAAAATGACAAACTGTCTTCAAGACAAAACCAGAGTTGTATTTTCATGTCCCTTATGATCCCCCTTTCCCAGAGCCAAGAAATCGAATTGGCTCCCAGAAGAAGAAACGTTCGGTTAAAGCAGGAAGGTACCCGTCGGGTAGATTGGTTAGACTTGTTTACAGAAAATAGCGGTTCCTGATGAGCTGGCAGCATCGATTTCATGGCTGGTTTAGTGCATACCTGAAGAAGAACACGGCTGACCTTTTGTCTGGAAGGTTTTGTACGGCGGGTGAATTGGGTCTGTCCATTTGGAAGGCACGCTTCAAACAGCGGGCTGTATCCCAGAGGATACTGTGGGTTTTTTCACTCTTGCTCTTCAGGGTTAGTCAACAGAATGATGGAAATAGCAATCGTCCAACTAAAGAAAGTGTCCTAAAATTATCCTGGAGTAAATTATTTGTCTCATAATATTGGCATATAACTGAAGAATACTTACAATAAATTTGACTTACTAAGAACAATAACTTACCCTATAATTAGGACTATAGGATGAATATAAAAAAAGAATAATCTGGATTTTGCATCGTCATGTACCTCAGAATAGGCGTATGACTGTGCACAGCAGCTGTATGGTTAGTTTGCCACTGACTTGCTGTATGACTTCGGAAGAGTCACTGAAGCATAATTTGCAAATTTGTTTCAAAAAAGCATGGTTTGGATCTCAAGATTATGAATTGGGGGTTTCTTTTAATTTTTGTTACTAGCTTTCCACATGAGAAAATTCTGTGTTTCTGGCTTTTTTGGGTGTTCGGGTTTTTTGGAAGGTGACCTGTTAGACAGCTGGATGGATTCTTTCAGTTCATACCTAAATAAGGCAACTCGGGTGACAAATCTTTCAGAAATGTATGATTTTCCAAAAATGTTGTTTGACTATAATAGCAAAGCAAGCAAACAAAGAAAAAACCCAAGAGCCTCAAACAACTCAACCAAGTACTTTCCTTTCTCAGAAGTTCAGTTGCCACTTTCGGACTGTCTTTGTACCACCATTCCCCTATTTTGCAGGGATCAGAGTTTTCTCCAGATAGTCTCTGGAGTCCTTTGGTGAACAGTCCTGAATTTCAAACGTAAAAATCAAGCAAATGAATCCTTGGTTGGCTCTAGGACGACGTGAGAAGGATGCACCGTGTTGGGACAAGATGCACTGCAGCAAGTCAAATGTCAGCAAAAAGCATGGGCTGGAGGAGTTTTTAGCGCGGACTGTGACGGATTGAAATGACTGTGTGTTTGCAAACCGCTGTCAGTCAGACAGCTTGCAAGAGCAGCTTCCCCTCTGTGCCGGTGGTGAGGGGCTGGCACGGATCAGCCTACCCTTGGAGCAGCTCAAAGCTGCAGTGCCAGCCTTCGAGCGTGCCAGAGCAAGAGCCAGCTCTTGAGAACAGGAGTACTGAGCAGCGCGGCAGGCGGAGCGATGATCTGGGGTACTGAGGCCTTGTGGCTTTTCTTCCTGTCACACGAGGCTGGTAGAGCCGTGGGCTGGGAGGCAGAACTGATAAGCCGATCATCAGCAGCGTTTTCTTCATGGAGTTACTTAATTTTTCTCCAGTTTTACTATTTCCATCTGTGGGAGAGAAAGATAATATAGTCTAGTGTTTGGGAATCTCCAGCTGAAGTATAAAGTAACGTTATTTTGAAACCCAGAGATCAGAAGAGGAGTGAATTGGCAACTTAATGGTTACTGGATGGGGGAGAATTAGTATGTATTGTAGCACTGGTGAGCCCTGTGCCTTAGTCAGAAGAGGTGTGAACTGAGGCTAGCAGGTGATAAGCCAAGACAGATAGTTAACAACTTAAAGTGAGAAATTCTGTTGCAAACCCTTATTACTGGAGGTATTTTGTTAACAAGGGGACCATCCCGCCTTTCCTGTCCCCAGTAGATTTTGCACATGAATAAGCCACAATTTGCAACTTCTGTGTGGGCAGCATGGGTGGTTCCAGAGCTGCGTGCTCTGGAAAGTCAGACGAGTGGTAAGGCGATACAAGAATGAGGAGCTCATACTACAAAACGTAAAAGATGTGCTTAAAATGTCAGACTGATCAAGCCATTCAGTACTGGGTCACGTACACCTCTGCCCAGAGAAACTGAGGTTTGTCCTCTGTATGATTTGTTAAATGAAAACTCTGCTGATGGACCCTCATCTAGCAGGAAACTTGATGCGCACGTAGAACTTTACACCACTAACAGTTTCATGAAAGCAGTGAAAGGTTTTCAAAGATCTTGCTTAATTTGGACCAAAGTAACTGAAATTAACTTCTTGGATTGGTTTAATTAATTTGGTAGGGCATAAACAAATTTAGGGATGGCATTGAATTTCCAATAATGAAGCGCAAAGTTATGCCTGCACCTGCCTTGCCTGGAGAAACTGCTTATATTGAGTTAATTTCTTCAGAGCTGTAGAATTAATTTGGTGTGAACCGGTACGGTTTGTCTTGCAGTAACAGGGATGTATTGTATATATCCCATCCAGCACTTGGTTTTACAAGGGTTAAGGTTCTTTGAGCAAGGAAATATGTTTTCTTCCAAATCAGCCCCTCAGTGTACAGCTGCAAAGCCTGTGCCTCCTAAGACATACCTAGGGAGGAGCCTGGTCTTCAGGAGGAGAAAAACACAAGTGAGGCTCCTCGGAGCAGCCCAGTTTTTTAAGAAAGCATTAAGGAGTGCTGGGATCCCAGAATATTCAAGGCCATCATGGAAAAGGTGGGGGATAGGAAGATCTAATATCCATGATATATCATCCTAAGAAATCTGCATCAAAGAAAACCTTTAAAGTGAGACAGCTGATCTTTCTCAGTGTCTGTGTTTTGCTTCAGACCATCTCAACTTTTACTTTGGACTGAAAAACATCACGATTAATCCAAATTAAACATCACGATCAATCCAAATCCTTGGCATCAGCCTTCACAGCAAAGTCCCATGTAAGCTGCCACATGTCACTCCAGATGTGTTGGTCGTTCAGTCAAGCAAAAGCCTGTCTAGGTTAATGACGTGCAGCTGGCGCCTCTCTGATGCCTCTTGTCCAAAGATCTCCTGGGCTTTATGTCGTGGCAGCAGCATGTGTTGGGTCTGGCAGAGTGATCCGGGTGTTGCTCCGTTTTCGTGGTCTCTGGGTTCACCTGTCCCCGAGTCCCGTCGTGCTCTTGGAGGCTGTTGGGCAGGATGAAGCGGTCGGGGTTTTCAGGGTCCTGCCTGCAGAGAGCCTGGAGTGCCTGGTGGAAAAAACAAGCATCCTTGGTTCCAGACATATTGCACTTGACTTCATTAGTAGAGGAACTATTATCTTCACTCGTTTATTTGAGGTAGTTTGTGGAGACTTTATGAGTTAAACCTCAGGGCCAACGGAGTTGATTACCTGAAATGTCCTTGAATGGAAAGAAGCATTTCAACCATCCTAGAAATGATTCTTTGGCAGAATGGCCGAGAAGGAACGACAGTAACAATGCCAATTAGACCGTGAGGAAGGAAAACATAAACAGGTTAGACGTACTGATTTCAGGTAGGATCAGGACTCTCAAAACAGTCAGCACTCTTGTCTTTCTGGGAATCACCAGATAACTGCAAATGACTTTTTTGTATCCTGTAGAAGCAGCATGCTAATCAGCACTGCTAGCAACAGCACTGCTAGCAACAGCACCACGCTGTCGCCTTTATTCAGCGCTATAGTGGAAGCTGTGTAGATCTTGCCTGGATTCAGTACAAGTCTATTCTGCATGGGATTTTTCCTCCGACTCGGTGCTGCATGAGACCTTTTTTGTTTCTGGCAAATCACAAATATGTAACATTTTCCAGCTGTCTCTCTGCCCGTGTACTAGCATGCCACACTGCAGGACAGAGCAGGATTATCTCTTGGTTGTGGTGAAAAAACCTTTTAGATCCAAATTCGTGAACAGCAAAAACACAGTTCCACACATTTTCTTGTGGATATGAAGAGAAATCATACAATTATGTAACAATGACTGGCTTTCTATATTCTGCTTATTTAGCCGTAGCTTCTTTTAAAATACATATGAAAATAGTAGAGTGAATTAATTTCTGGGATAACCTCACTGGCTTCACTAGATATGCTTGAGGCTCATCTCAAGGTAATCCTGAGTTCACTGTGATAATGAAAATCAGAAGAAACTCAAGAAATAGTAGTCTTTTGCTCTGTTTACATCTCCTCCTACGTTCATAAAGCATTCTCCCTCTGGTGAGCTATCTTAGATCTCCATATCGGAGATCATATCAGCTTACCGTTAATGAAAACTAATGCAGACCACCAATGAAGCCCTATACATGGGTCTTGCACACGGACAGGAAATTACTGCACTGTGTCCGTGGCTGTTAAGAGAAATGCCAGCAAAATGTATATTCGTATAACGCTGAATGTTACTAAAAATGGGTTCCCAAGGTATTCCAGACTTGTACAGATTTTTATAGACCATTGCTCCATTGGCCGTTAGAGGGTGAAAAGCTGTAGTCACAGGTAGCTGAAGCCTGAAGCCTTATTTGAGGATGGATGAGCGAGATCCCATTATTGTTAAGTTTTCCTTTGATTTTGAATGAATATATATTTTAGAAAATCAAATTCTATGAAAAGTGTGTTCAGGAAAAGAGTTGCCTGTTATTTCAGCTAATACAGGTCTGGATTGTATTTTTTGCTTCTGGCAAATGGATTGGGCTGGTCTTTTGTTCAGAGAAGAACAGGGCAGTGGTAACTCCCAGCT